GTGGCGCTCGCGCTCCACGCCAATCGAGCTGTGAGCTTATAACCCGTAAACCTGTTGTCTCCCATTGCTGGGTTTTACAGGAAGCGGGCCATCGGGCACTTCCTAACTTCCGGAGGGGATGGACTAGGGTACTGGCAGGGCGCCCACACCTGACAGGAGAACGACTCGGGTCCTCAGGCAAAGCCTTCGATTAAATGAACCCCTGAAAGGCAGCGCGTCTAGCCCATGGTCAGTTCACTGACTCATGCGGATTGGTGTCCTGGATCTTAGCAGGGAGAAGGGCGAAACCCAACTCCCACCCAGCGGTCGCCATGAGGAGGTGCTCAGGCCATGAGGCAATGGCACAGCAGTAGCAGCAGTGGGTAGACCATTTGTCAGGATCTAGCCACTACCAGCCTCAGCGCTCCATAGACTCTCCCGCCATGCGGAGAGTATATACCAGTTGGCTTATAGGCCTTAGCGGTCCATAGTGCCTGCTTTATCGTATCGTGTACATCGTACAAAATCTACATTAGTTGAAAAGTTCACAGCAATGCGTTTCTTGTTTCTTCGATATTCACTTGTCTCGAAGAGCTTAAACCGAGCACTTCTGCTCAACCAGCTTCTGACGAGTGCTATTCAAACGACCGTGTGCAGCGTGATTAAATACTGCTTTATGGATCGTACACGCTTCACACAGCTTGATGCATTGTGATCTTATGTAAGTAGCGTTTCTCTCTCCTCTGTTTTCTTTATATGCCGTAATAATTCCTTACCGCCCAGCTTTTTGCATGTAAATAAATTGATGATGTAATGCTCCTACTGTTTCGGCATCTATTCTCCTTAGGGTGATCTAGATGAGCTTGTTCTGTGTTAATCTTCCCAGTCCCTCATTCTGAACACTTCTAAATGTGATGTAACATTCTCCTTTCTTCGGACCGACAAGGTATAAGCTGTTTTGAGTGCCACGGACAGTGTTTTGTTTATTCCAAAACCTATGGTAGTCTATGGACGTCGTCCAACATCCCACATCATAAAAACAGTCCAAAACGCAGGACTACTACTTACCGAAAAATCCTCATACTCCCACAATTGTCTTTTGTTTGAAAAAAAAACAATCACGAAGGTTTCGATGTAATCCACTAATTATTTTGTGCCTGTTCACCACATCTTTACATGGTTTCATCGGTTTAGGTTCATGCACGATTTGCCAGCCACACCACCTTATTTACAGTCCTAAATTCAGGGAATCTGGTTTTCCAATCATTCTTTTATTGTTGAACCTAGAAAATACACTTGGCCGTGTAACACACATTTATTGAAAAGATAGAATTCTTTGGAATCCGGATTTTGTTTTTAGTTGCTTTTCCTCCCACCTTAACAATCCTTTTCAGCTGGCCACTTTAGGTCACCAACATTCTTCCCGACGCCCAGTCACCGTCGGTGTTATCCAGGGAAGTGTACTTGACGCCTTGCTGTTTCTCCTTTATAATAACGATGACCATCAAAAACAGCCAGCCCTTTTTGTTGTCTGACGATATCAAGATTCTCTATAAGCTCTGATCTGATTGGCTTCAGAGCACACTGCTGCTGCTTCAAGATCTTCATTCCATTGGGAATGGTGCCAAATTCTCGTCTAAAAATCATGCATTATGTCCTTCGCTTACTCGATTCCCGAAGAGTCAGTCCAACTTAACGTGAAGTCCTCATAAACGTTAACTAGGTAACTATCAGCCGTTATCCTATGGTAGTTTGCGGTTCAGGTGTACTGACGGCATAGCTGCGTTTTGCAGTCTTTCACAGTGTAATCCAAAGGATTTGGATTGCGTAGGACCTACATTCTTTCTATCCGGGTGGTTCCTCGTAATACTAAAATGTTCAATTTCCAATTCGAATTATGGGAGGGGACGTGCAAAATCAGTTGCTCCTGCCGGAATGACTCATCAGGACAGCTGTACTATCCCACGGCGCAACTGAACGATTCTTATTCGATACTTTCAGGTGTAACAGTCATGTTCATTGTTATTTAAAGCTGCCCGGGCTGTCTACTCAGCATATTACCAATTTGCTTTTAATTCCTACTTGATGAGCCCGCTTACTACAATTCAATCTGAAAACACTGCGCGATATTATCTTGGTACCTTAACGTAGTTACTTGTGAATTTTCACTTGGTTGCACAACGTTTCCTTATTATATGATGCAGAATATTTAGTTCAAGTGCATGAACTGGTTAATGGCCTCGTTGTTGAACGCAACAGTTCTCAGCACAAAATTGTTAGAGTATAACTCCACGTTGACTGAAGCATCCTCATCATCATGGCAGTACTGTAGGTTGATTTCCCGATGCCATACAACCCACGAACAAAGGCTGAAAGCGCAATGGGTTTTCATCGTTTACGTGGTAACCTTATGGTGGTTAACCAGACAGCAAACCTAACCGTGTGTGCCGCCACGTGTTAAAGCTCAGTCAGTCACATATTGACAGAGCAAAGCAGCCGCTTAGAGTTTCGTCCGAATTTCTACATGTTTGCTGCCCCCCCCATAATGTTCTGTTACCTCTGCCGTACGTTGGCCGTGCTAATAGTGCATTTGCCTCCATATAGCACCTAACAGTTTGCATACTCCATACGAGCATTCGAAGACCACAACGCGAAAGCTAACACCTGCGTTGCTACGAGAATCGTGGGCGGTAACTTTACTGTTTGCATCAAGCACTGCCCCATCAGATAAAACCTCTGTTCACAGATATCAGTTGTTTTTTGCAAATCCCGACCAGATTATCCAGCGGAACAGGTAAAAGCTTTTTCCTCGTAACATAGCGAATACCTTGTTGCAGAAAAAAATAAAAGGGGGATCAAATGTAAAACCCAACCACCTCAGTTGAGCATTCAGGGCCATTATTCTTACTCTTTGCCAACGACGCACAGTCACGAACTGACAACTTTCATGTGAGCATATATCAGTGTCGGCGAGAATTCTTCTTTAGGCCTTCTGCTGTTCCAAAGCGTAGTCACATGTGTCCAAGTGTAGCAAGCACGTTAAGTCAAGCAGTCCGGTCGCGAGTCATATCCTTTCAAATCGCTTAAACCCGGGCTGCGGAATGAGGTGAACTAATAACAGAGCTGTTAGCGGCACTTCACGCTATCCAAACTGCGGAAAACGAAGTAGTCTCTCCGCCGTAAGCATCAGGTGGATATATGTGCCACGTGCCCAAAGTGGACCAATGTATGCAATCTTTTTTGTTGATCTAACAAAGTGGTTTAGCCATTGTCACTTGGTAATTGCCTGTGCACGTAATTGTTGTGGACGCGCTTGTATCACTCTGTTCTAACGGCATGTTATAATTGCTCTCCTAGTCGAAACGAACGAACAACTTGCGGACTGTATACCCACACGGAAAAAGTAGCCGACGGAATTCGGTTCGTACGATCCTTGAGACCTGGTCGCCAAACGTTTTCTACGCGCGAGCTGCATCGAGCGCGGGCCCAACACGCGTCTACACGACTCCGACAAACAGAGGCGATTTTACTGGCGCACCAAAGGGCGAACACAGCATTGTCCAACCCCACTTTTATAGAGAGATTAGTGACTATATGCTTTTTCACTTAGAACAGTCTGCGTAGCTTAAACCAGGAAAGTGCGGCCTAAATAAGTGATTTGGCACCACGCGGATGTAAGCAGAACATTTCGGAAAATGAATGTTTGCAATTGTAGTGGCCGCGAAGGCAAAAGTGAATTCATTACCTAGGCTGGTCGGAAAAAATGACTTCTTGTATTTGCGTAGGCTGTTTGAATCACGTGCACTAGCATGAATGCGAGTGTCTGAGCCTTAAATGGTTTCTCTTGCACGATATCGTGCAGGGGAGGAGAAGCATGCGTTCTCCGTAACATACCCAACACGAGCAGTACTTTTTAAGTAATAATGGTTAGGGACTTGAAGACGCGTGCAATCTCCAGGCCGAGATGGTAGTCTGGCTGCCTTCAACACAGTCTTATAGACACGGCCTTTGGAACAAGAGTACTTCCTTCCCGGTGTCAGCAATATCGCAGTTCTGTCGCATTGTATGAAGTAACCAGTAGTCATATGATTGTCACTGCTAGTGCAACTGGCAAAGCAGCTGAGTTGATCAGCTACTACAAACTCCTCACAGTTAAATGTAAGAGGACAACCAAGTGATTGGTGTGTGGCCAGATGTGACAATTCCGGAGAGTTCGTCGGAAGCTGACTGTGCTGTCTCCTCATTGCCAAGCATTCAGTGATATTGTCCGCATAATCTTAATCAAGCAGTTATCTCCCCGGTAGGACTTCAGTACTTGCATGGTGATACTACCCAATATCGCACTCCATGATGGAATCTTTCTTTTTTCTTCCTATGTCATCACGGAATCCATTCATACACCGGCTGATCACTTTCGTTGGATTTCCAACTTTTTACTAGGTAGTCGCTTTTCTCACGTTCGCTTTCGCTCACTGCCACTGGTATGCACACCACTGTTCTACGGATTAAACAACTGCGCATTTGTGTTTTTCACTGATTGTGTACATTCGTTGACTTTGCGTCAGCGCTCATGAGTGATGGCGTCGTGTTTTTGTCCATTGTCTTTTCACCTTCTCTTCGCCGGGAGATGCAATATCCAGTAATGCCTTGGCTTTGTTTTTCACACTGTGGCCTTCCAGTAACCGATCGACAACCATGGCATTGAGCCAGCGGGTGCTCTTTGTGTTCCACCCACGTTGGACCTCTGCAACAACCCTTGATCTGTTAAAGTAACCAATCTGAACGGAAGCAATAATGTAGCCTCAGTATTAACTCGCGTGCTTCTCCAACAGAATTTCTTTGTTACCATGACAGGTGAAAGTTTTCCGTTCACATAAGCTTTGCTCATTACAATTCCTGTTGCTTTGTTGACTTTTTCGCAGATTACGCAATCGGTATGGTACAGCACTTCAATCGCATTGCTCATAGTTGCATCGGATGGTAAAAACTAACCTTCTTTTTCCCTACTTTTTTCACTTCAGCAAACACTTCGCCGAGGAGTTGGTCGGGCAATACAAGAACGTACGTTTAATATTTCAGGGACATGAGTTAGTCGAGCAACAAACAACTCGGTCTAACCGAACGAATTTTACTCGTCCGACTGATACGACCATTGCACGCCAACTTCGTCTGTGTGACTATAATGTGCGCGACGGATCCACCATCCACTGTCTTGTAACTACTTCGGCTGTTTCCACCAGTCTGGCACAAGATGCGTCATCTCATTCAGGCTCTCGCGGCCAGGATTCACACTCCAATGATCCTTTGCTTACCGAATTTGACATGGGCGCCCGCTTACTGGAACCTTTGTTTGCCTTCTTGCTTGCATTCACATGGTTTTTTCGCATAGCATATCGTCAGTACTTCAATTCAGTTTCCACCTTTGCCCTCATTACTTTGTCCGTTTTCTTCTGTGGTGCCGTTTTTACAATGAACTTTATGAATGCTGCTTCTGTGGTATCTGCTTTCGCTGCTCGACGACGGAATCGAACAAACGATCGCAATGCTTCAGCCACGGAGGCTGCCAGTACTAGTTCTGAGTCCGGAGACGTTCGTGTTGTAACTCTGACCATGGCTACTCGTAGGATTCAAACACAGCATGATCAGCCCGGATCAACTCTGTTTTCCACCGAGACATCTATAGACAACCCTGACGTTTCTTCACCAGTAATGGCGTCTGCCTCCGCCGAGGAGTCTGCACCATCTGATCATCGTGTTTCTTTATCGCCGTTGCTTGTTCGCGACAATGCTGGATCTGCATAAGGCCACCGGCTATGATATATCGTCAGTGTAAATGAGGGAGAGAAATCTCCCTCTTTTGCTGTAAATCGCAAGCAGTTCACAGAATACAACCCTTTTCCCACAGTACGGATTCTCTTGATAGGCTTTTCTCCTATTAGGGTATCTGATGTCTATTGTGTTGCTTCCTCTTTCGTCACTCCTTTGGCATAACATACGCGCTATTCGTTCTCTAAATTCTTTAACTTATTCGGTTGCAATGGTGTTGAATCTTTGGGTTTCTCGGAAGCTTGTTCTAATCACCGGTTGAAAGAATCTACCTCACGCTCCTTCAAGACCACCAAGTAAAGTGTTCGTACTTGTTTAGTTCATATAAATCACGACGAGGCTATGCCTTTACGCGGCGCGATGGTTTGCGTGCCTCTATGGTTCACCGGGATACGCTGAATGGCACTTACCAAGTGTCTTCAAAGCCGCTCCAACCATTTACAAGTCGAACGAACCTCGCCTCCGTATCCTCTGTTTAAGAGTTTAGTAAGTGATCACTAGCTATTATGCTTTAGCGGATTATGGGCTACAGGCTCTACTGATGTATGGCTTGCGCGCTACAAGTTTTCTCTAACGGTGACCAAGCATCACCTACGTTTAATGGTTTGCTACCGCTCATATCAGCATAGGTGATTTCTTGCCAGTCTGGTGCAGACTCACCAGGACTTCCCCTGTGGTTGGCCTTGGTTGCAGGTGCATAATTTTCGACGACCAAAAAACGTATACAAATACTTCCGAAATACCTCCTGCTTTCACGAAGTTTTTGCTGGCTTTGTCAGTTACGCCTGAACTTGACCATTGAGTCCAAGGCCCCGAGTGAAGTCCCTCAGGCAAACTTTCGCTTTTTCCATGTGAGTCGGGCTGTTGATGAAAAAGCTACGAGGTGCTGTCGAACAAAACCCCCTTCGTATCGGTCTACTGGATCGACTAACTTCTACCCAAAAGACGCAGTAGCTTCCTTTTCTGTTCACTTATCCTGTTATCCTTTTTGGCAACAAGGGAACACAACTGACTTCCTTAGCCATACGAGTATGAAAGCCGGGTCACATTCCAAGTATAGCGTACCATTTCACTGAATTTTCGACAGCAGGTTCCCTTCCAATGATCTTGATGAGGAGATGCAGAATCATTTATTATAAGTGTTTATCTACTAAGAACACCGAGTAAGCAACGCTAATTTCTGCTACTTGGTTTTTGACTAGAAACCTGATACCTCACTGTTAACGTTGGCTAGCTCATGTCCTCCGTTGACCGGCTTCCTCGGCGTGCATTATGCGACGTCGCTGCACCAAGTTGGGTGAAACTGCGAGGTGGTCAGTCAATGACGTGTCATAAAGGCATTCATAAATTGTCTGTGAGACTTGGTCAGACTGGCGCGTGCAATCTTCGTGATGGTCTACAACATTGGTTGCAGACTCTGTCGGACATGACATAGTCAACGACATTCGTACATTCGGCTTTTGCATCAAGCCGTTAGTTTTCCGTCCTGATTAGTTTTGCGCATCTCTGTCCTGATTCCATTTTCTTTGAAACTATTTGCACTCAACTTCGTTTTCTTACCGTTATTTATTGTTATTCTGGCGAGGTGAGTCGTGGCAACTGGATTCACCACAATTCGGTGCTCGGACCATCGTTGTTCAACCAAACATAACTGAACTGACCCAGTGCACCCCAATTTTACGTATACCTCTATGCTGCCGGTTGAAACCTAACCCTCTTGACCCGAAACATAAGTTCCCATTGCGGCGGTACACGAGTAGTGTGCTGGACGCGTTAAAAGACTTTCGTTCCGGTTAATCTTCGACTCATAAAGATAGTGACCGGAAGTTAGCTTGATGAAAAACACGCCTGCAGTTAGCACAGTTCATGTATTGAGGCATATCTTCAGTCAACACTCTGCCGGAAACAATAGCTTCCGACAACGAAGCGCAGTTCGCATCTGCTTAGTTTGCGGAGTTATATGTCAATAAAGAAACTGAACTGTTAATGATTGCTCCATATCACTCCCAATCTAGTGGACGAGCAGAAAGATTTGTGGATACCCTAACTGAGCGGTGCTGAAATCAAAGTGGAAAGAAACACTGAACGAAAGACGGTTGTTGAATTATCGGATTGCGCGGAATCCCAGTACACCAGGCGAGAAGTCACCTGCTTAAGTACTTATGGTTTGGGAACTTGAGTTTGCTGACTACTAAACTCGCCGAAACGCCACCCGAATGCTATGGTGGGGAACCAGTATAACAGGCGGCATGGGTGGGTCCGGAAATTTTGCAGCTGAAAACCTCGTTTTTTCCATATCCTTTCAAGGGCATCGAATCAGTTCGTGCGACGCCGTGGCGGGGTGAGGTAAGATTTTCGCGTTGGTACGTTATTAGGGGTCTGCCATGCCATCCACCTGAGGCTGCGTTTTACAAAGAAATCAGAGACGCACATTACCGAATAACTTGATTTCAACAAGTTGTCACACATTTGGTAGCCATGCACCACTCTAAGTCAGGACATTCAACCCTTGAAATGGACCGGAAGTGGATCACGGCCAAGGCCAAAACCGATAAGAATATTCGTGCAGCCCTTACGGCTTGATCACTTACGAAAGACCTATATGACTCTAGGTAACTCAAGAAAGGGGAGATTTTAGGGAAGCGCATCAATCGGGCCTGACGCATGCTGTTCTGGCCAAGGGCAATAATTTTCGCATTTGAATGAAACTCAATCAGAAATTTACCGCATTCCTTTGTCCATGCAGTAGTTAAGTTCAGCTCATGAAGCGAACACGTTTGGATTTAATTGTTTCCTATTACGCTCATTTGCCTCCTGTAAAACAAAAGGGAACTTATCCCGCTCGTCGGGAATATACCCATTTATCTATTTATTTACTGAGACAGATTTAATCCGATTCTGGTTCATCCAGTGCTCCTATGGGTGCGAGCTGTCGGGGACGATAGAACACGGGGAGCAGGTCTCGCTGCGTCAACTGTGGGGCTTGGACACATATTGCGCATGCCCGTTCAGCACCTTTCGTGTCGTGCGTTTTGCGGTCGCTAGACAGAGCTAGAGGAGGCGGCGCGGCGGACAGCGTACATTTTAAAGAAAAGGCACGATAATGGTAGCGAAACAGTTGGCCTCTAATGGGTGTTCTGACTGGAGTCTCAAAAATGCGGATTGTCACTGCTTGGAGACCCTGGAAGTCATGTCTCAAGACCGATCTCGGGGGCGTGCTGCGATGATTCCCTTTTGCTCCCCCAATAAAACAAACACAAAAAGCAAATCCTGTGAGTAGGCAATTGAGGGAAAAGTTGCCTTTTCCTGCTCATTCCATTCCTTTATTCTTATTCCGTCATGATTCTGTGAGGTCTTCTGAAAAGCACTGATCCACTTCGAACATGTCTGGAGGAAAGAGACCATCCCGGCTAACTGGAGTGAATCGATCATATTGGCAACATACACGCGCAGTCGCGGTGACTGTGCGAATCACAGGGATTTTAGCCTAACACCTTGAGTAACAAAATTGCTGGCCTCAATCCTCCTTCATCGATTTACTGCGGAACAAGAATCCCGGATTAGGGAGGAGCATACAGGTCTCCGACCCGGACAGGTCTGCACGTCAGGTGCTAGTGCAACACCGCACGTACTGCAGACCGACGATAGCTGTGTTCTTCGACTTTAGAGCGCGTTCGGCTCAGTCGATCATTCCATTCTGTTCGCGACACTTGTGCGGATAGATGTTCCCATGAAATATAGGAACATTTTACTTGCCCTGTATTTGAACATCACAGATCGCGTCAAACTCTAGGGCGACTTGTCGGATATCTTCCTGACAACACGTGGCTTTCGTCAGGGTTGTCGAATTTCTCCATTTTCGTTCAACTTCACCGTGGACTCCATCATGGAGTGTTCCCTCTCGGAATCTCACGATGCAGAGTTTGACGTTCTACATGGTGGGAAACTAGTGTGTCTTACTTATGCGTATGTTATTGTCTTGCTGGTTAACGATGTTGGGGTGGCCCTACCAATCCTGTATGACCACTATAGTAGTGCTACTGTTTTGCATGCGCTTCGCTCCTTCAAAGTACAAAGTGTCGTTACAATACCACCAGCCATTGGATGACCTCTTGACCCTTAATAGAGAGGAACTCGAAGTAGTTGATAAATTCACTTACCTTGGTAGCTGCGTCAGCAACGTTCAGCGCTTCACCACTGAAATCAGTTTACGTAAAACGAAAGCCAGAATAGCCTTTTTAAATATGCCTTTATCTGTGGTGTCAGGGGATTTCCATTGGTCTGAAAGTTCGTGTTTGCACGGCTACAATGAAGGTCATCCTACTATGTGTTAGTAGGACTTGTCCCCTTTGACCTGTGGATCTGATGCGCCGTCAAGTAGCTGCGTGCGAGACATTGCTGGTGCCAGATGGCACCAGCTTGTCCGCGACGATGATGTGCGTAGGCGAGTGCTAAGCAATAAAAGGTTAGTTTCGTAAAATAATTTAATCAACGAAATTGCCAAAAAGTATCAAGTGGAATCTTACAGATCTGCAGTCAACAGCGTGAGGTGTACGTTCCATCGAAAATAGTAGCAGCTATTTTAAGGACTCACCATGTGTCTCTTTGAACACTTTCCTACTTTTGAAAGCTGCAGTGTGCTGTCTTATCGGTTTTCAACATGATTTACAAGCCTACGGTTCGACCAGTCACTGCACGGATCAGAGACACGGCTCGTGCCATCTGATGTCATTAAGAGACCAGAGGTGTTTGATCACTGGTCTGTTTCAATATCGCTCGTATCTGGCAGGAGAACCACGCGCGTAATACGGAAACATGTTCTGCGGTGTTTGGCAGCAAACCGTGCGATGCTTCTTTGGAGTATCTGTTAAACTTTTATCGCCTTCGTTGGCTCGGTCTTATGCTCTGCAGGCTAGCCCCATCGGTGTGTATTGTTCCCCATTGTTACATCTATTTGAATGAAACCCATAGGTGGCCAGCGAATGACATGACAGCGGAACATGAAGATACACGGAAGAGCTGTGTTATGCTGATGCTTCTCCTCTTCCCTAATGGGGTTCTTTGGATAGACCACACACCCTATCGTATATGAGATTTGGCCACGGAATCATTTACATTTTTTCCATTGCTCTCTATTCTTTATAACTTAATTCTTCCGTCTATGTTTTTTTCATACTCATTACTTCACTTACTGTTATGCTTATAACAGTCTTACTGGTAATTGTAAGGTGTTGCTCGCTCACGACACGGCATTCCGCGACCGGTTTCGCACTCTCTGACGCCTAACACCGGTTCTAATCCACGAGGATGATGGTGCGCCTGCAATATCCTTGGCTGGTGCGCGATCGGTGGCAGCGAAGCGTCGAATCGGCACATTTACTTACTCTTGCTGACTTCTTTCACCTTCTTCCCCTCGGTACTACTATTCGAATGTGGGACGTTTTGTGTTATCAGCCGAAACCTCTGTAAGTAAACTACCTAGTCATAGTGTGGCTGCGTTTGATGTGCATATTGACAAGGTGCCTACCTGTTTATTACCCACTACCTCTTCCATCTAGCTCTAGGAGACAGTTGGTCGTTGCTGGAGAGGACGGGGTGCAAGGTTCTTGTGGCCGTGTTAGGATCAAAAAGTGGTTCCATGCACTCAGTGCGGAGCGGACTACGGTCCAGCCACCGCCTTGTGTGCGCTTGGTACTCCAAATACAGCGTGCTTGTGTTTGCCTGTGAAGTAGTGTGGGCCGGCTCCGTTGATGAAACGCGGCTCCCATCCACATGCCTCCCGGTCTTATTCCTTCGGGTTTACACTGGATATGGGGTGTGTGAATGGAGCTGTGGGTGGTGCAGCGCAAGCCATCCATGGTCCCTCTGTAGGCGCAGGCATCCTGTGGCTGTCCACAGTGACAGGCAAATCCGAAACCGGATGCGGCCAACCATGGTGAGCAACGATTGAGACGACACTCAACATTTATCTGCTCCAGGTACGGTCCCAGTAACTTAATTAATCAAAGTTTATTTCAACGTAGTCGCGGTACAGATTGAGATTGCGTGTTGCAATCCGCTCACGCAATGTGCGTTTCAAAATCACCCTTGCAATGAATAGTGATAGTATGCAATGACATTATCATCCCACAACCTTCGTCTTCTGATACTCCTATTTTGCACAATGATTGGGTTTGTTTTGATGACGTGTATCAAGGTAACTGGATCCACCGCATCTTAGTGCACCGATCATACTTGAGGAACGAACTGGAATATTTGTGAAATGGAATTTCACAACCCTTATGCTACTCCATCTTCCGGCTTAAACAGTATTGTTGTCTTTTAACTTGTACTGATGAGTCAGCTCCCGATGACGCTACGTCAGTCGACTGTGGATATTTTCTGTGTTCTTGACATCTATCAGTCGACAATTCACTCATTATTTACTCATTATGGTTTTACCCATCTCCTTCCTCTGTAGCGAGAGTGGCTGGCTCACGCTAACAGAATGGAAGTATCCGACAGACTACCGGCGAGAAGGCACGCAAGTGATGGGACCAAGGTGTATTGTGGTGTACGCTGTATCCGTATATTGACTAAAAATACGACACCGGACAACGCAAGCTAACCGGAAAAGGAGGTGGGGTACCACGCGACTGAGCGTTGTGTGGATTCCACCCGTGACGTTCTGTGCATGTGTTACGTGTATCTTGGGTCAGACAAACAAATTCAACATACATTTCAACAATCTGCAAGCAACCTTTAAGGGTAAAGTAAGATAGCGACTTTATTTAGTATTTTACACAACACACTTAGATAACCCAGGGGAATCTCCAGACTGCTACGGCACTGCAACTATTTTTAACCTTAACCTTATTTTAGTATAACCCGGTGCATTGTGATGCAGCGGGTATAACTTTGCTTCATGTGCCTTCGTTTCAAATCATACCGAACTTTCCATATCCGACATGGTTTCTAGTTGTTTTTTACGCTTTTTGATACCTATGCGCACATTATCACCTCAGCCGTTCTTCTCCCTTTGCGATCATAATTCCATTGGTACATTTTAGAGAGCACCTTAACGCCCTTCCATTCTGGATTATCGTTATCCGGAGGAGTTTTGTATGCGGCACCATTCTAGTCAGCATGCTTCAGTCATAGCGATCTGATGGAAAATAGGATATTGTTTCTCGTTAGACTTCTGAGGGCTGCATAAATTAATCCGCCTCTGAATAACTTAATCCATTAATAGGGTACTCTTCCACCTTGAGGCGCTTCGATGTTCCCTGTGTGCACCACTGTATTCTAGTTACCTCTGATCTGTTTTATCTGGAGCTGTGTACTTATCAATTTTGGCAGTGTTTCTTTCACATTAGGCCAAACTGGTTCAAGATATGACTACACATTTAAGCCTTTATCGAGTTTCCTCATGTTACTCTAATGCATCTACGACAGGTGTCAAGTGGTCTTTCATCATGCGCTTATCACCTCTAGTAATTTAAATCTTCCGGTTAATAAGTTTCGGCTGCTAACCGATTGGTACACCTAGTGATCCTGTACCGCACCTGTAGTGGCGCCTACCTCAAACCCGTGTTTCGTCGTTGGTCGACTAGTAAGCTGAAACTGATATGGAGAACAGGTAGCATATTCACACACTCGACCACCTTGCGAGAAAGTACACCTATCGTCCAACCCCAAACCTGTATGGGAATCCTAGGGGATCGCATTCGGAAAATTTGTGAAGAGCCTAACGTAGTCCGGAACACGACTCACTATGTTGCCCGTGTTCTGTGTCCGTCGTACCCAGTTGTCCTCTTCGGCTTGTAGTCATCTTTCTTTGAGCTCTGGTTCAATCCCTCTACCGGCTCTCTCTTGGTGAATTGTTGCTGTTGTTAACTTGTAGCTAACCATCTTACTTTGTTTTCTTACCTATGTGGCCTATCAGGGCACTACACATCGTATTACGGGATCCATTTGTCGACAATGGATCGTCAGGCTCCTGTTTCCCGGATCAGCAAATCCCAGAGGTGAGTCAGTATGTCTCATTCTGCCGCGAACTTTTTACTTCGCCGGAACCTCTCGACTCAATTCTAAAGTGACCTCAGAAGGGGTGTGTTGCTCAATATGTTGAATGCAATAGCCAGATTTTCACAGTATGTGACCTTTGTACTTTATGTTTTTCTTTGATTTTTCGTGACAACCTGTCAGTACGGAGATGACCGCCGCTTTTGAACTCATTACTTTGAAACCAATGTTTTTACGACAGTATCAATGATCGTCCTATATCCGCCTTCCGTACACTTGAGTGTATACTGCCTGTGTCTCTCCTGCTATCCTTTCATTCACTCGCATCGTTTCACTTTTTCCCATCCTGTGTTCCATAAATTGTGCAGAGAGAACCACAGTGAAATCGAGCGCAAACGCCGTGAACGTATGAAGCGGGATACGGAGTTTTTGCGTCGACAAATCCCCGGTTCACATTGCAAAGACAAACTGTCCATCTTTCAGATTGGAGCGGAACGGTTAATACAGTATACTGGTAGCGTTTTAATTCACTGGAATGTTCACATCTCTACGTTTTTAGACAAACTTGGCAAAAGAGATTACATCATCAACGATGAGGAATACTCTCGTCTTATCATGGATGTAAGCGGAGAAGACTTCTCCACCCGTACTTTATACCACTAGAACTTTGACGGCTTCGATGTGCATATCCGGTGTTCTGATGGTGAGGTCACTCATATCCACAAAAATGTCGAGGAGATTCTCGATACTTCCGTGGTAATTACACTTCTTCTTTTCTTATCGTGTGTCCTACTTATATGGTTTTAACACATATTGGGCATTTGGCGTCTGCTTTTGTTGGTGCTTCGTTGAAAGTTAGTTACTTCATTCCATCTTCATCTTATCATCTAGATTTCTCAAAATGGTGACTCTTCTACTGAGCTGGTTTGACGGCTTGATCCAGACCCATTAGCCTCAGTGTAGAGTGTCTAACGGTTAGTCAAATGGGACTTTCATCATGATCTGCTTCGTAGTTTCGCACTCGTACGTATTACAAAGAACAAACTACTTGTTTCTTACTACTTCTTCGACCTTCATATTTTCTTAGTCATCTGCTCGTACATCCACCTCAACACTGTAAATCGGATATTATTGCTTAACTTTCGAGACCTGAAGAGGACTACTCATCTATCACCACTGACAACCGAAAAGCATTGTCTGCATCTGTAGACACCACGTAATATCTGGTGCTGATATTCAGTAGTCAGTCTTCGTCTACACACCATTTGGCTTATCGGGAATTGCTTGCGCCATCTTGATCATAATTTCCTCATACTGAGTCGACTAGTCCTATGGTTTCTCGATACTCTACCTTGTTGGATCGAACACTAGGATAACTTGTCGCAATCAAGTTAAAAGCGTAAGAGAAAATTAGGCACAAACTTGGTTGGCTGTCGTTTGCATGGTTCTCTAGAATTCCCGATAATCCTGTGATGCTTTCTTGCCATCCCGTGGCCGAAAGTATCACGTTTCTGCCTTACAATCCGAAGGTCAGGGGTTTGAGCCTGCATAGGGGACCGAGCGATCATCACAATATGCTTAACCCACGCGCGACTGCTGGTGGTTACGTGGCATCGAAGCGTCAGTACTACTGATCCCTGAGTGATACCTTCCCATTCAGCCATTTGCCTCCATCTCTTATTTCTCACACAATGGTTATACTGCTATTCAACCACCCTTCTGCTTAACGTTTGACTTTTACATCGACATTTTTTATTCTCCCTGTCGTCTTGAGCAACTATTAGCATACTATGGGTAACTTAACCCAATGCGTTTCGAGTGTTGGACCCTAGTTGCTTACCAGCATTGACTATCTGCTTACCTGTCCTTTCAAGCCAACTTAGATGTTTTTGGCGCATAGTGGTCAAAATTTTGTTGTAGCCTACTGATTAAACGCAACTATGTTGTGTGTCAGAATCTGATCTCAGTCCACATTTTCGCACACCGCGATTTTTCTTTGTTGAAGCATTGGTAAGTGCCCTCTGCAGCTAATCTTAGACCTGTTGCATCCGCTCATCTTGAGACGGCATAAACCAGACTTGTTGGTTTACTCAAGACACACACTCGCCTATTGCCCGTCATCGAAAACTTGTTCCTCTGTTGTCGTATTGCATTCTCTTGGTTTTGTAAAACCACCGTTGTTCGCACAAAAAGGATTGTGTTGACTCGTCTAGAAAAGTCGCTGATGAACATCCAAGAAGAAGTGGAAGTTACTCGTGACCCGGTAAGTATGTGGTGAATATGTCGGATTTGAGGCTTGATGCCTTACAACTGGAAGCCTTATCATTTAGTATAGACTACAAAGTTCCTCCTAGACGGTTAAATAAGCTTCTTATTGAATCGCCGTTTGAAAACTTCTTTGATCAGGTGAAAGATCTACAACCAGCCAGTGCTGATAAGCTCATATGGTTTCGTCATCATCATTATACACATTAGCTGCATATTGAAAACACCTCAGCTATTGTGCCGCAATACAAAGGACAAAAAAAGAAGAACAACAGCGCTACGCCGGCTGAGTCCCCAGTAACGGATGGACATCGTTCCGGAGAGCTAACAGTCGGCTAATATGCCGCAAAAAGGTTACATTATACTTAGTAAATGAAATCGTGGTTGGAGGGAGAGGCTAAGCGGGAGGGGATGGACAAATTAATTCACAACACAAACGCCATCGGGGCCGGCTGCTAGCCATATCAGCAAGTGTGTTCTTAGGACCCCAGCCAGGCAGTCGGAATGCACCAACTGACGCCAATTTCGAAGTAAGGGTTTTCATTTCTCTCGACCGACTCACCGCTTGGCCTCCCCTCCTGCTCTTCCAACCGCACCCCCGGCGCACAAACAATGCACGTCGCAGGAGTCGGTGTGCTGGCATACACAACATGTGGCCCAGCCATCGGAGTCTGGTGCGTGAGCAGTTCACTCGCTCTTCCTGCATCAAATACGCGATGCCGAACACGTTCATTACTCACGCGGTGCTCCCACCAGACATGAGTTAAGCTTCGAAGGCAGCGATGATCGAAGGTGACGAGCCTTTTAATGTCTGTCGACATGATGGTTCAGGTTTCACAACCATACAGGTGAGCAGAACGGACGGCTGCGGTGTAAACTCTGCCCTTGAGGGCGAGAGTAATGTCGCGCCTGCGCCACAGGTGGCGGAGATTGGCAAAAGCACCTCGAGCTTTTGCTATACGGTTTGTAACCTCATCTTCGATCACACGGGCGCTAATATAGCTACCCCGGTACTTGAATTCCTCAACGACTTCTAGCTAATCACCACAAAGCGTTAGCGCAGGGGTGGAGAAGTACTTTGCATTTCGATGGAGCAAAGCACAGTCCAAAACGATTGACATCCAGTGCTAATCGGTCCAGTACTGCTTGACATGTCTGGGAGCTGTCACAAATTAGGACAATATCGTCTGCATACTCCAAGTCAAGAAGTCGCTCACCAGGAAGTAGCTTCACACCTTCTAAGTCGTGTCCAGCGAACGCTGTTTCCATCACTACATCAATAGCGAAGTTAAAGAGGAAAGGTGACAGCGGGCAACCTTGTCTCACACCGCTGGTGATACTGAAGGGTGGCGACGGTTTGCCTTAAACCCTCACTCTGCCCGAACTATGCACGTACAGCGCTTTAATAATGTTTACAGTTATCAGGCACACCTTTCCTCAGCAGACAGTCCCAAAGGGCACATTGATTGACTGAGTCGAAGCTACCTTTTATGTCAAGAAACAGGACAACGGTGGGTCGCCAATAAACATGGCGGTGCTCCAACACTTGACGCAATGTGAAGATGTGGTCGATGCAGCCGCGACCTTGACGAAAACCGCCTTGCTCTTCACGAATCTGGCTTTCACGAGTATCAGTCAGTCTGCGGATAACGGCAGCTGCAAGCAATTTAGAGGCAATTGAGATCAGACTGATATCTCTATGGTTGCCGCATTCCGAACGGGAGCCTCCATTAAAATTGGGACAATTTCGGAGCGGATCCAATCTGTCGGGACAGTCTCGTGCTCCCAAAGTTTCACTAGTAACTCGTGTAGATCATCAACTAGAGCAGGTCTGATGAATTTAAAGAGGGCTGGGGGAATTCTATCTGCGCCTGCGGCCTTATGCAATTTCAGCAGCCTGATCTCAGGTTCGACTTCTGTGCGTGAGGGCGGATCCAAGGAGACGGCCCATGGAGAAGGGCGCTCAATTCTCGAAAAAGAAAGCGATAACTCAGGTTGGTTAAATTGCATTGCAAAGTGTGCGGCCGAACGCTCCAAGCGTTTTGATAGGCTGTGGATCGGCTGCCCACTCTCGTCGCGTATGGTCTCGCTAACACCAGGTCTCCTGCTGCCTGTTTCCCGTATCAAGCGAAATAACTTGAGATGATTACCAACGGCAGCAGCTGTTTCCATCTCCGAGGCGCGATGAGACCAACAGGCTTCGCGGTCTTTCTTCAGGCTAGCACGTAGTTTTGCGCTAAGATTTTTGCGAGCCTCATTGTATTCGCTTCCAGCCTCAATACGTCGGCGAACATCCATAAGTTCCAAACACTGTGTAGGGACCCAATGTCCAGTTTGGCAATTCGATTTGCCACATGAAGACATGCCTGCTGATAATAACATTTGACGAATATGCGACCAGTGATCTTCGACGGCGTTCAGTGGGCGCTTACTCAGCCCGGATGTCAGCGCACTTTGGTACACATACAGAACACCTGGCTTCACCAGCTGACTGGTGTCAATCCGTTCACGTCGACGCTGCGGGCATCCGCCGATACGCACTCGGAGGTCGGCGTAGACAAGTGCGTGGTCAGAGTTCACGCTGTTTCTCCAACTCGAGCGACAGTTTTGGACACAGCCTTTCTAGCGGTAACTAATCGCGATCTGATCGATTTGCGTCCATGGCTGGCCCGAGGCTAGTGGGCACCAAGTCACGCTTCTGCGGGTGCTTTGTCGAAAGTTAGTGCTCGCGAGAAAGAGGCGAGCATCTTCACACAGCTGTAGGAACCGCTCACGGTTATCATTACGGGAGCCTACCTCATGTTGGCCGCCCAAATGAAGCTCATCATATGACTATTTTCCGACTTGGGCATTTAGATCGCCAGCCAACACCACAGTATCCGTGCTTCTTCTGTAACGAAGGAGATCAAATTGCTGATAGCAATCAACTTTTACCGAATCAGTGCTACAGTTTGTAGGGGTGTAGGCCGCAATGACAACCAGACACCGTTTGTTCCCGCACGACTTCGTAACATGGAACGAACCAGCTAATCTAACGGTGCACATCCGACTGTTGACTGGGATCCAATCGATCAGGGCAGCTTCAGCCCGGGGACTCAAAACAATGCCGACGCCAGCTTGACCGGCATTTGTAGCTGCATCATCACCAGACAGGCGCAATGAGGAATGTGCCACCAATATCTTATGTGGGGGATCGCACGGTACACACCGAGCTCGATTCTTGCAGGCGTGTTTATGATAAACAGCAATATCGATCAATAGGGTCTCTAGTGTGCGGGCGAGTGCTGCCTGTCGGCCAATCTGTACCAATGTGCGCACGTTGAGGCGTGGCAGTCGTAGCGAGACTCGAGGACTCCAAAGGGAAACGGATGAACTGACGTTGTCCGCTTGGTTGAACATAGACTTGTCGACTGGATTGGAGCGACGCCCTGCGATTGTGTGTGATTTGAAATTAGAAGACAAGCGACTATTGAAGTAAGATGGGGGGGGGC